CGGGTCGCCGGGGCGGGGGCTTCGGGTTCGCCGGAGGAGGCTGCTGGGAAAGGGGTCCAGGCGGGGTCTCCAGGGCGCGGCGTCCTGGGGCCGGATCTTGGGGTGAGGGTCCTGGGAGGGTCCCTTGGGCACCCTGGGGTGCGGCCGGTAGATGAGCTCCCCCTCCCCCCGCTGGGTGGGTGGCTCCAGGCCTGGCGGGGCAGAGTGACCCCCTGACGCGGTCGTGGCCCTGCGGGCTGTCGGCCTGATGCCACCCGGCTGATGCCACCCTCCGTGGGCCAGGGTCCCGGCGCCCCCGAGTGACTGCGCGCATTTCCACGGCGGGGCAAGGCGTGGCCAGTCTCCTGGGGCGGCACGGCTGATGAAGCCTGCTTGGGTCTTGGCTGTTATCACAAGCCGAAGGGGCTGTGCTTTGCCGCCCCAACCTGGAGGGCCCCTGCGGGCTGCTGGAGCCCAGGCCCGACCCAGGCCCGACCCAGGCCCACGGGGCCTGGCTCCGCGCTCCCAGTAGCTGGTGTTTGGGGAAGCGAGGCCTGCGGGCGCCGCCTTGTCCCAGCGCTCCTGGGGTGGGCTGCAGGCCTTGCACAGGGCCTGGAACTCCGGCCCTGTGGCCCGCTCTACCCCTGAGCCACATCCCCAGCCCTGGGGTATTTGTCATAGTTTTTTAATTGACGGGTAGTAGCTGAACCTCTGCAGAGTGACATTTCGGTACATGCTCACTGCCTGTCACAGTCAGATCGGGATGGTTGTCGCGCCTGCCACTCTGGGTGTTTGCTGTGTTGGAGGCGCTCAGGGTCCTCCTAGTAGCTGTTCGGAAGTGCAGAGTTGATTGCTGTCCACTCCCTCACTCTGCAGTGCTCTAGAGCCGCCGGAGTTCTTCCTCCTCCACAGCCGCACCCCAGTCCCACTGGCGTCTTTTCCCCGACTTCCTCACACACCCTCTTCCTGGGCCCTGGTAGCCCCTATTCTCCTCAACACTTTCCGAGATCAGCTTTTCCCAAGGGGTGAGGGTATCCAGCGCCGCTCGTACTTGGCCTGGCTTCTTTCACTTGCCAGAATGACCTCCAGTTGCATCCACATTTCTGCTGATGACAGTATCATTCTCCTTGATGGCTGAGCTCTAGTAAAAGTGGAGCGACTTGTGATGCATGCCACACGTGCGTAAATACAAGTCGTGTGACTGGGACAGTGGGACTAGACCGGGTGTCTGTGGGCCGTGCAAGAGTTAAAACTTTTCAGGCCAGGCCGGGCCTGGTTGCGCAGGCCTATAATCCCAGCACTCAGGAGGCTGAGGCAGGAGGATCACTGTGAGTTCGAGACCAGCCTGGGCTACAAAGTGAGCTCAAGGCTAACCTGAACTGCACAACGACACCCTGTCTCAAAAAGACAAAAACAAAAAACAAAAACTTTTCAGGCCAGCTGAAGTAATTATGTTTTTTCTCCCTCTGGAAAGTACAAGAACTGATCCGAGATGGGTGTTAAGCTTTTGGTTTTTCCAGGGCACAAACGCAGCCTCTGCCCTGTGAGTTGCTGTGGCCCGAGGCTCCCCTGGCCTGCAGTGAGTTAACTGCTCTCCCTTGCTCCTAGGACAGGGCTGGTTGTGTCCCCCAGATTGTGAGAATAGAGACAAGAGCTACTGGCGTCATCCTCCGTGGCCTGCTGGTCTCGAGAGGAACCCTGGGGAGGACGGTTTATCCTGGGGATTGTGGAAATGTCGTGTAAGGCTCTTCCTCAGGAAGTGCCTTCTGGTGATGTTTCTTTCCTTCCTTCCGTTGATGGTCGAACCTTGTGACGCTCCCTGCAGACCGAGAAGCACCGTTACATTAAACAGCAGTCTCCGTTGCGTCCTCTGCCCCTTGGAAATCTCCAGTGCCACACAGTGGGGGCTCACACGTGTTACGTGGCCAGCATGACGGCTGCCCCTGTTCTGTGGAAGGACAGCGAGGCTGTGTAAGGCAGGGGAGCAGGAGGAGAGACGGTTAGCAAGCAGCGCGGAAGGTGTTACCAGCCGCTTCGGCCCGCTCCTGAACTGGCCGTGGCAGGACAGGGACGCAGGTTTTGCCCCACAGTTTGAGCCCAGCCGAGCACTTACCTGGGCCAGGGCCTTCTGCTGTGATGGAGGAACTGCCCCAGCAGGAGCAGCTGTGGAGACTGTGCTGCTGGGCAGGGCAATCTGGGAGAAGAACGTGTACGCTCCTCAGTACTTTTTAATTCTCCTGCATGGTTTTTTTTTTTCCGAGGCAGAGTCTCACTATGTAGCCCAGGCTGGCCTTGACCTCAGGCAGTCCTCCTGCCTCAGCCTCCTGAGTGCTGGGATTACAGGCATGCACCACCACACCCCGCATCTCCTGCATGTAAAGTGGAGATGACAGTGTGTCTCTTGCACCTCATAAAGGGAGTTTTGAGATAGAAGCTCTGTAAGAAGGTGAGTGGAAGGAAGCGATGTGCAGTTACATGCACTATTAATATTTGCTGCTTGTAGGGGCTGGGGATTTAGCTCAGTGGCAAAGCACCTGCCTGGCAAGCGCAAGGTCGTGAGTTCGGTTCCCGGTACCGGAGAAAAACCAAAAAAAAAAAAAAAAAAAAATTTGCTGCTTGTCATGTTTTCAGGAAGTTCTAAGAGCAGCTCTCTATATATAAAATAATTAACATTGAACTTTACTTTTTTTTTTTTTGAGACAGGGTCTCACTATGCAGTTCAGGCTGGTATTGAGCTCACTTAGTAGCCCAGGCTGGTCTCAAACTTGCACCGATCCTCCTGTCTCAGCCTCCCAAGTGCTGGAATTACAGGTGTATGCTGCCACGCCCACTTGAATTTTATATCCTTAATGTTTAAAGGTTTTGATATTTAAAAACCTGCCTTGATGCCACCAAGCGTCTTTTTCTTTTTTCGAATATGTCATTTCCAAGTGGTTTGGGGGTGGTTGAATGTCGATTACCATCCTTTTTTCCTCTGTGGCTGGTGTTGTTGTAAAGTTTACTATTTGATTTTGGAAGTTAAAATGGCTCATCTGTAATGACTAAAGTGTTTGAGATGCCACCAGAGGAGAAGTTTTCTTTATTGGCTTCCTTCTGAGAAAAAGGTATACTGGTAACTGCTTAGAAAGGTCTTAAGAATTCGTTTGTCTCAAGCAGTTTACATTCACACGTTTTGTGTTGACAGGCTCAGCTGCTTCTGAGCAGCCCGTACTGTGGGCACAGAGAGCTTCTGGGTGGTGCCCGCAACCCCCTGGGCCCCACAGCAGGCCATGTCGCTTCTGGTGTGCAGGATGTCAGAGAAATCCATTGAGCAGATACCTGGAGCGCTGGGTCCCTACCAGGCCCCATGTGTGCGGGCAGAGGGAAGCAGAGAGAACAGCATGCTGGGGACGGCGAGCAGGCAGGTGACGTGGGCCGCAGCTCGGGTGGGAAGAATTCCGAGCAGGTATCGGTCTGAGAGAAGATGGGCCCAAATGACATTCTGATCACCTTTCTAAAACGAGTTTATTGATTCAGACAGATGCGTCTGTTAAAGTCTGCGGTACTGCAGATTTCAGCTGTGCGAATTGTTCGTGTGAAAGTGAATACTGTGGCTGTGTATTCATTAAGGGACCTGAGAGAAGTGAGAAGGTTACTTTTCATCCCTGGGTCAGGTGATGAATCACAGACAGATTTTTTGAGAGCAGGAAACACTGCCCAGATGTTTCTATTTTTTCTATTTTTTTTTTCAGCTTTTTTAAAAAAACAAAAACAAAAAACTTTTTTGGTGCTGAGGACTGAACTCAGGGCTTCCTGCTTGCTAGACAAGCGTACTACCACTGAGCTAAATCCCTAGCCTGTGTTTCTACTTCTTGGTAGCTTGTATTTGTACCTGTAGTACAGAGTGTCGTAAAGACTCAAGATTCTAATTTATAAAATAGGAACCTTTAAGCCGGGTACTCAGGAGGCTGAGGCAGGAGGATCATAAGTTCAACGCCAGCCTGGGCAACTTACTTAGTGAGTTAGCGAAACCCCGTCTCAGAATAGAAAGTAAAAAAGGGGTGGGGATGTAGCTCAGCTCTTGGGCTCAGTCCCCAGGGCGAGGGAACGAAAAGGAACATTTTAAAAACTTCACACTTACCATTTTGTATATAAATACATAACTTTACTTGTGGACATAGGTATAATTTAAAATACCTTATTCACCCCAGCAAGTTTTTATGTTTGTCATTCCGTTCCTACGGTTGCAACCCATAGTTTCTCTGTGGTTAACTGTAATACCCTTACCCAGTTGCTCCTGTAAATGTGGGTTTTCCAGGACAGCAGGACCTGTGTGTCCCGGGTCACTCGCTTCGTGCTCTGACTTGAGAGTTCTGAGGGGAAAGGGCCGGGGCTCTGAGGACGGAAGGCGCCCTGCCCTGCCCAGCCCTCCTCTGCCTCTGCCCGGCTGCTCCCTTGCCTGCCCTCTGCTGGCCTGACACCTCCCTTGGTCCAGGCTGGGCTCCGCCCTGGCAGCCTGTGGGCCTCCTTCCCCCCGTGCCCGGAGTGGCCGGCCGGCTGGGGTGCTCGGCAGGCTGAGCTGCGCTCCTCCTGCGGCCTCTGGTCTGGGGCAGACGTGCTGCCAGCGTTGGTGCTGAGCACCTGCTGGGGTGACAGGTGGGGTTTCAGCTGTGCGGTGCCCATGCCCCAGGAGAGGAGCTGCCGGTGCCCTCGTCCTCAGGCACAGAAAGCCCAGCTTGGACAGGAAAGGGAGGCTGGTCACAGGGTGGGGCGGGACCTCCCCCACCAGAGTGAGGCGCTGAGGCCCGGCCCTTGCCGGTCTCCGGGTCTGTCCGTCCTGTGGTGTGCGGTGCAGGAGGAGCCCGCTGGGCTCGCTGCTCTGTGCGGCTTGTGGAGGGGCGCCGGCCACGTGCAGGGAGTCGTGGGAAGCGGCCGTGGCTGCGGCTGTAGGAAGCAGCACCCGAGCCGAGGGGGCCGTGGGCACCTGGGACGAGCTCGTCGGGGCAGCCCTGGAGCTGCAGGGCCCAGCCGGGGCAAGCTCACGGCAGAGGGCAGCGCACACCGGCCCTGAGCTCGTGCCCTGGTGGGGCAGGCAGAGAAGGTGGAGAGGCCAGCAGGAGCAGCGCCCCTGGGTTTCTTGTATTCCTGGTGACCCTGCGGGCAGCGGCTGTCCCTGCCCAAGGTTTAAATGCCCCCGTTCAAGCCCTCTTGGCATCCTCTGTCCATCCGGTTCTGGTCCCTGTCCTGGCACGGAGTGTGATTGGCCTGGTGGGGGGACACGGCCCTGCAGCGCCTCCCACCCCCATCAGCTGTGGATTTTAGGTTGCTACCGCCAAGCGCACGCCATGTGGTGTCCTTAGCCAGGCAGGGGTTGTGGAGTCCGGAGGGAGCGCAGTGCGGGCGTGGCGTTTGTCGTGTTGGCGATAGCCTGGTGAGTCCACGGTGGCCAGTGCGCAATGTGGACTCCAGACAGCGTCGCACTGTGTGGCTCCCCGATGTCATGCCACCTGTGTCAGCACGGGGCCCCCAGGCCCGTCCCAGAGACAGGAACGTTGGCAGGGGCTTTGCACCGTGTGAAACCGTGTGCGCAGGCCTGAGTCAGAGCGACAGCACAGGCAGGCAGGGAGTGTGCAGAGCCTGAGACCAGTACCGCCGCCCGCTGCAGCCTCCACGTGTAAGTGAGAGTGTGAAAGTGTGAGAAAGCCCCGCGGGGGAGCCACACAGCGCAGCAGTCAGCGCCCTGAGCACTCACGCGAGTCTGTCTGTCCGGATGCTTTGTTTGAGAAAGAGCTCAGTGGGCCCCAGAACGCAGGCGCCGCGCCCTCTGGACAGACTGCAGGGTTGCGCTTGTCTCCTCCTGACTCCTGCTGACGTAGAGACCTTTCCTGTCGTGTGGAGAGACTGGTGTCTAGAGAAGGCCGCCTGGGTTCTGCCTGTCCTCCACGACTGCTGGCTCGGTGTGGCAGTGCACCCGGCCAGTCCCCGGGACTGTTGGACCTGCAAGCCTGGGAGCTGCCGCCTGCTCCTGGCCCGTGTGTTCGCAGAGGGGACTTGCCTTGTCACTGTCGTGCTGTTTTTTCGGTCTTTTTTTTTTTTGAGACAGGGTTTCCCTTTGTAGCCCAGGCTGGCCTCTGTCATGGTGATCTTCCTCCCTCAGCCTCCTGACGGCTGTGATTACAGGCCTGCACCACCACACCCGGCTTGCCATGCTGTTTTTAAGGAGAAAGTTTTGAATGAATTTTTTTTTTTTTTTTTTTTTTGGTTTTTCTCCGGTACCGGAAACCGAACTCACGACCTTGCGCTTGGCAGGCAGGCGCTTTGCCGCTGAGCTAAATCCCCAGCCCCTAAGGAGAAATTTTTAAAGGAGAATTCTTTTGATATTTAACAGAAACGGGAAGTTGAAAGTCGAAGGCGGGTCTGTCTGGCACTGGGGGCTGAGCCAGGGCTTGTGCTGGGCAAATGCTGCCTGCGGCCGCACCCCAAGCCTGGCACTAAGTGTGGCCCTCGCTGTGCCACCGGGGACCGTGAGAGCCTCGCACAGTGTGGCTGTCGCAGGAGCGTCACCCCGTCTTGGTGCAGAGATGAGACGACAGGAAGCGCCTGGGCGTCAGGCCAGGGCTGCGCCCTGGGTCTGTTTCCTGGTGTCTGGGTGGAAGGAGGGTGGAGGAGGGAAGGCTTGGCAGACCCCGAGTGCAGGCCGCAGGGCAGACGCACTCCCACCGCGAGGCTCTCCCTCTAGGACTTGGGGTGACCGTGCTTCCTGGCAGGTGGAGGGTTTGTAAGCGACCAGTGCTGTGTGGCCAGGTTCTTCCCCTCAAGGAGGACAGGGGCTCTGTCTGTCTGTGCCCCATGGGGATTGGCAGTGCCCGCTTCCCCTGGGACTGACAGGTAAGGCTTCGGTCCTGGCTGGAGGGGAGTGGCCCGGGCTCCCTGCTCTCTGCCCCGTGGGGTGGCTTTGCTTGCCAACGGCTATGTGATGTGGCCGTGGGGAGGCCCAGGAGCGACAGGTTGTGGCTGTGGGGGCCCCAGGGCGCCTTACAGCAGTCCCTGGCTCGGCGCAGGCTCGGGATTTTCCACAACACGGAGGGGGCAAAGCTGGCATCTGTGAGCCCGGAGCCTCTGTCAGAGCTGAGAAAGCGAGTGGTGGCAGCAGCTGGGGTGCTGTCCCTGTCTCGTGGTCCCCAGGGTCCAGGCGCAGCTGCCAGCAGGGCTGCGGCGTCGCTTGTGTGCCGTGTGCCGACCAAGCGTCGCGGCTGCTGCAACTTGAGTGAAGGTGTTGTGCGCTGTCCTTGGCCCTGAGCCTTGGACCAGAAGGACAGGCAGCGACCATGGCCCAGCACAGGCCCTGTGTCCAGCCAGCCTGTGGAGGGCCAGGACGGAGAGGGGCCGGGGCCAGGGCAGCAGAACCTCCAAAGAGGGGCTCTGTGGCTGGCTGAGGGTGTCGGGTAGGGAGCCAGGTACGGTCTGCAGCCCCGCCTTCCTCCCCAGGAAGTGGTGAGTGGCTGTGCAGGGGCAGGATCAGGTGGGCAGGGCAGCCCCTTCTGCTGCCCCCTTTGTGGCCTTGAGCAGCCTGATCTCTGGTTGGCACGCGGTCACTGATAGTGGACCCCTGCCAGTGAGTGGACGTGTGTGTCCAGGGCTGGAGAGCCGAGGTGGCCCGTGAGAGGGCCTGCCCTCTGTCCCACAGATGTCTGGAGCTGGTGTCTGGGTGACTTTTGCCCTTCGGAGGCTGGCCTGGCGGTGCCCCGACCTGTGACCCAGGGCGGAAGGACGCGGCACACTCCTGCCTCCCTGTCTCCCAGGAGCAGCAGCTTCCTGTCCCCCGTACGGTGTGGGACTGTTGGTCTCCAGCCGGTGGCCTGGGTGCAGGAGGAGGGCACCAGATGCCCTGCGGGCGGGAAGGCTGCTGGGATCTTAGGCAGGTTCAGTGAAGAGGGGTGGTGCAGAGAGAGGAGGATTTGTTTTACTTCCTGACACGTGTCCTAGGTGTTTCTCAGCTGAGCTGCAGTAGACTCCTGTGTCCACATTTTCCCCGGATGGTTGGGGGAGGCAGCGCGTGGGCTCTCACTGGAAGGATTCCCGAGGTCGGTGGCCTGCTGGCTCCTGAGGGTGCAGGCGGAGCTGTGCTGACTCCAGGAGCCCCGGGGAGCAGGCCTGGCGGGCCCCCTGTGCTGCCCTGCAGGCCACACACTGAGTCAGGGCTCTGGTGAGCACTGCTGATTTAAATGTCCACTCCTGGGCTTTCTTTGTCCTCTTCCTGGAGGTGTGCACGAAGCGTCTTTCTTGCTGGTTTAACTCCGTTAGATGCGTTGGCCTGCCGGCGTTCAGGGTCCCAGCTCCTGGGTAGAGTCAGTGGCCCAAGGGAGCGCCTGGGTCTGTGTTCTTGATGGTTTCCTAAACTGATTTCTGACGAGCAGCGCCGTCCTGGCTCTTCCTAGGGACCCGAGGTTTGCTCTTGTCCTCTGCGGTGTCACCCTGGTCTTCTGTAAGATCGCCGTCATTAGACCGCGCACGCGAGCCACGGCTGTGGCCACCCACCAGGGAAAAGCGAGGGCCCCGCTGGCACACAAGAAAGCTCTCCGAGGGCTTCTGCGTGCTCTAGGAAGTCAGCTGGTGGCCAGCGTTTTGGTCTTGTATGGGAAACATTAGTATGCAGCCCCAGCAGTTTCACTTTTGAGGGGTAACGCTGGCCCCACGGCCCGAAGTGAATGTGCAGGCCCGGAATCTGGGCAGCCCCGGGGTTTCCCTCTGGCCCTCCCCTCAGCTGTCCTTGGGCCCTGTAGGGGTCACGGGGTCGCAGAGTCGGGGTCCGGGCAGCATGCAGGAGTCTGTTACACCGTTACTGTGCTCCTCCAGGATCTTATGGCCCCGACTGCCACTGTCTTTCAGCTCACTGTGTGCGCCTGTGTGAGAATTTTACAAATCTGAGTGTGACATTTTGTGTTTTCCATTTTAGTGTAGGAAAAACGATGATGGAGACACGACTGTTTCTGTCGAGAAGGAGCATTTTATGGACGATTTCTTCCACCAGGTGAGAGCATTTCGTGGGACCGCGCCGTAGATGTTTTTCTCTGAACGCAGTCGAGTTCAGTAACGGTGCCTCTGCGGGGTTTGAAACAGCACTGAACGGATACAGTTGTCACGCACTGCTCGGTGGCCTGTGAGGCCACGTCGCCCACGGGCCAGCGGCCGTCTGAGTGTCCAGGCCAGCACTGTGGCGTTCGAGGGACGAGGGTGCAGTGCTGCGCCCTCAGCAGTCCCGTCAGCCGGTGTGCGCTGCCTCCCAGGACCTGCTGTCTGCATGGGGAAAGCTCTGGGCACGAGTGAGCGGTGTCAGCACGAGGCGGAGGACAGGCAACCATCCTGGGCGCGGGGGGCCAGGAGGGCCTGAGGCTGTGGTCTGCCCGGGAGTGCTGGGCCCCAGGCCTGCTGCTGTCACAGTTGCTGTGCTCGGGGAATTTGATCCAGCGCCTGCTCCCTTGGCCGGAGCCGCTGCCTGGAGGTCCCCGGGCAGTGGCGGTGTTGACTCCCCAGCCTGGGCTCCGAGCTGCCTCGGGCCTCCCCCCCCCTCCTAGCGCAGAGTTTGGAGCTCGCCTTACTCCAGGTGGGCGCGGGGCGCTCCTGCCTGTGATTTCTGGCTGTTCCTTCCGGAGGCCTCTCTGCTGGGTGTGGCTGCGATGCACAGCAACTGCGTTCCCCACGCTGCTGGGCCTGAGACTCGGGCCAGCCGAGCCACCTGCTGTGGGCTGCTCTCGCAGCGGCCTCTGTCACCCTGCTGAGCTTTTGCTCAGCTGTTGGTGTGCAGTGTGTTTCTGTGGAGCGGCTGGCTAGAGAAATGAAGACTTGTTACTGTAAACTCCCTTTTAGGAAGTGGCATTCAGGTCTTAAATACCATCCCGATGGCTGCAGATAGAGGGATTTTGCTCTCGACCAGTGTTCGGGGAAGCCTGAAGCAGTGCCCCACGGAGGAGCCAGGGTCTGCTTCTTTGTTGTCATTGGTGTTTTGTTTTGAGTAGGCTCTCACTGTAGTGCAGGCTGGTCTTCAACTCACTGTGTAGTCCAAGCTGGCCTTGAACTCACGGTGATCCTCCTGCCTCAGCCTCCTGAGTGCTGGGATTACAGGAGTGCACCAGCATGCCTGGCTCAGGAGCCCCCTTTTTGAGACAGAGAGGAGATTCCTCGTTCCCTGGTGCCCACTCCAGGGCAGAGCCACTTGGGGCTCCTGCTGAGGAGACGTCAGCCTTGTGTGCACAAGATGCCCAGCTGAGGGACCCCCACTCCCCCACACTCGTGCCATCCCATGGGCCTTGGCAGTAGTGTCCTCAGATGCATGCCGACACGGAGCCTGTGCCCCAAACCCGGAGCCCGAGCTTGTGGGGCAGCCTTCGTGGTGGCTGTCACAGTGCTGTCCTCACGTCAGGAAAGTGCAGGTCGCGTGCTGACGCCGCAGGGCTGTGTGTGACGGAGACGGCGCCCAGGCCCGGTGGCTGCTCTGGGTCACTCTGTTGGGCTTGCCTTCAGTGCCCCACTTTCCCAGCGTGCCCTGGGGCCCGTGCTGGGCCTTGCGGTGCTGGGGCCCCGTGCAGAGGTCCGCTGGGCAGAGCTGTGCCGTGGCACGCTGAGCTGGTGGGGTCTCTTCGCTCCGTGTCCCCATGAGGTCAGGGTGCTGGTCGGATTCTCAGGGGTCTGAACCCTGGAGACAGGCGGTGTGGAGAGCCCGCACGCTGCGGCCTTGTCCTGTCCTCCCGTGCCCCCAGCCTTGGCCTCCATGGCGCATGTCTGTTTCCTGGCAGCGGTCTCTGGGCCCCCCAGATGATCCAGGGTCCCCTCCAGCCTCGGGAGCCTCGTCACGCCTGCAGTGGCCTCCCCGGGCCCCAGGGCTGGGGTGCGGATATGGACGCCGTGGGGTGCGGGTGGAGATGGTGTTCTAAGATGTGCGAGGGAGGAGGGCTGGCTGGGCTCTGGCTGGAGGTCTTGCGTCTCTGCTGGGGACACTTGTGCCTGGATCGGGGCCGCCCAGCGCCCCAGAGTGTGGGCATCGAAGCGTAGTTTCTCTTGCGTGGAGGCCACACACTCTGCTTCCCGGGCCTCCCTGGACCCATCCTCAGCCTCCCCGGCGCTGTTTGAAGGTGCCACAAGTCCGGCTGGGTTGGTGTGTATTGAGCACGGAGGGTTCTGGAGCAGATGTTGGATGCTCAGGCCATGGAGAGGCCAAGGTAGACAATACTCAGGGACGGCCACGCCAGCCACTAGTGTCCCTTGGTTGACAGTGTAGTGTGTGTCCTGCGGCCGAGTGAGTGTCTCAGCTGGCATGGGTACTGGTGGCAGGGTGCGTCTGTGGGGAGACTCGGGCCTGGCGGGAGGGACCTGTACGTCTCATGAGGTTCGCTGGCGCCGGCCTGGGTGGGAAAGCAAGGTGTACGTGTGTCGGAGGGAGCTGCGATCTGCGGGACACGCGGGAGCTCGGCACCAGCGCTTGCTCAGGAAGTCCTCACCCGCATCCCTCAGACCTGCGCTGTTCAGGTCGTGAAGAGTGATAGCAAGTTTGACCTTGTTGCGCTCTGACGACCGCTCTTTCTCCCAGGTGGAGGAGATCAGAAGCAGCACCACCAGGATCGCGCAGTACGTGGAGGACGTGAAGAAGAACCACAGCGTCATTCTGTCGGCACCAAACCCCGAAGGAAGTAAGCTATGGTCACAGCGGGCGTTTGTGTGTGTCCGTCCACCTGTGTGCGCATCTGTGAAAGTCTGTCCAAGTGTGTGTGTGTGTGTGTGTGTGTCTGTGTCTGTGTCTGACCGTCATCTCTCTCTGTGCCCAGGTGCCCGCTGTCTGCTGTGGGCAGCACAGCGCTCGCCCTTGCTTTATGCCGGTGGGGCAGGAGTTGCTCAGACGTGATGCCCTGGCACCCCTCGTACCCAGGCTCCACGCGGCATCTGCAGGGGCCCCGCGCGTGTGAGGGTCTCCGGAAGCACACGGGAGTGACCTTGTGAAGGCAGGGCCTGCGGGCCTGGGCCAGGCCTGCTGTGCGCTGTGCTTGTCCCTGAGAGCCGCTGGAGGCTGCTCTGAGGGAGCGGTGGTGGCGCGAGTGTCTGCATGTGCTGTGCAGCGCGGCGCTGCGTGTGAGAGGACCACGTGGCTGGTGTGATGCGTGTGAGCTCCCTGGACGGGGCCGTGTACGTGGAGAGCTGGGCAGAGTGTGGAGCCCCGTGGGCCGGGCTCCCCCGCTGTGTGTGTTTTCCAGGAGGATTGGCAGTGACACGAGTCTCTGAGGCCCCGCCGCCTCTCGGCACCGTCCTGCTGAGCTCGGATGGGCCACACTTCCTTTCCTTACCTTCCCTCCCGGGCGGGCGATGCTTTGGGGTTCATGAGAGCACCCCTGCTTCGCGTTGCGATTTCTGTTCCTTGTTGGTAGAACACAGAAATGTGATAATGTTACACGCTGGCCTCCAGCCCACTGTCCCACCAGTTTAGTTGCCCTGGCCGCTTCTCCTTGGAGCCTGCTGCGTTACTCTCTGTGACTGGGGGCGTTCTTTCTTATTCTTACTGCTCACTCTTTTCTGCTTTGTTTCTGCCTTTTGGAGAAGGGTCTCCCTGTGTGGCCCAGGCTGGCCTGGAACTCACAGCAACCCTCCTGCCTCAGCCTCCTGAGTGCTGGGATGAGAGGCATGCCTAACCAGCCTGGCTGTTCTTACTGTTCATTCTCAGCTGATGTAATTCTCTGATTCCAGCCCTGCACTGGGCAGCAGTGGGGATGGGTGCTCCTTCTCAGCCGTGGAGGAGGGCAGGAAGCCCAGGCTTTGTGCTTGTACGTTGGAGAAGTAAGCAGTTGGTATTCAAGTGAGAAGCAGCACAGCCGGCTGTTGCACACCTGGTGTGTAAAGGATGTCCCCAGCCCCGCTCAGGGCCCTGTTCTGACGCTTGGCCATCTGCTGGCGTCCTCTGTGGCCAGCCTGCCCCGGCCCTGCCTGTGTGGGCGTCCTCATGTCCCTTCCTGGGGACCCTGCACCCTGACCGCGTCCTGCAGCCCTCGAAACCCCACTGCGAGGACACCGTCGAGCCTGTCGAGCGCAGGGCTCAGAAATGTGTCTGCCCGCCAGCCAGCATTTTCCATAACATCTTGCTTAATTCCTAGGGAAGTTCAGTGCAGTATAAGATCAGTGTGTTTTTCTCTTGAGGAGTTTATGTCCAGAGCACTTTTCCGCCCAGCGAGAACGGATGCGCCTATCGTTTGGTAAACTGAGAGAATGTTAATATAAAAAAAAGCGGGGCTGGGGATACAGCTCAGTGGCACACGAGCCTGCCTGGCAAGCACAAGGTCCTGAGTTCGATCCCCAGTGCCCGCCCCCCCAAAAAAAAAAAAAAAAATTCACAGAAGCCCTTGTTGGCCTGAAACGCAGCTGCTGCTTTTGTCTTTTGTGAGCTGCGGAGCAAGAGGTGGGGTCCAGCCGCCCCTCAGCTGTTCTCTGCCCAGTGTGGCCCTAGGATAAGGTGTCCGAGACAGGGCTGTGTTGTCCACCCCGCCCCGCACCCCCGCGCTGCCCTGTGTGCCCACAGAAACAGGAGGCCCTGCTCGGGGCATGGTGCGGAGGGTGTGGGGTGGCTCTCTGGCGCTCGGCCCACGGTGGGCTGTGCCCGCGGTTCCTGTGGGTGGCCCAGGTGGCTGTTGCTGAGGTCCCGGGGGACAGCGGTCCCTGCCTTGGTCCTGGAGCTGCATGGCATGCTGACACTGTGGATGGGGCCCTGCTGCTTTGCTCCATGGAGTGGGTGCGGATGCAGGCTTCTTCCCATACCTTCTGGTGCCACCCTGGTTCCCGGCCTGTGGATGCCAGGGGCTCCCCCAGCCCTGCTGTGGGTCCCAGGAGATACCCCAAGACCTCCGGGGAGCTGCCCGCCCTGCGCACTGGGTGGGCCTCGCCTCTCGCTCCTTCCGGGGCCTCTAGCTCCGCTCGGCTGCCCCTTTCTTTGCTCAGAAATGGCAGAGCGGACTTCCCCTTACAAGAAGCACAGAGCCTCCCTGCGCAGCTGCAGGTGCCCCCATGGGTCCCTGGTCACCTGGGCTGCCTGGGGCTGCGCTCACCTCCTGTGGCTGTTAGGCTCCCTGTGTCTCTGCTCCTTGGTCTCGGGAAGCGCTGTGGGAGCATGGGATTGCTCCTCAGTTACTGCAGGTTCCCTTTCCCTTGACAGTAACCCAGGCCCCTGAGCACTTGCACAGCTCGGAGAGTGGCACAGGTGTCAGGTGGCCTGGCAGCGTGGGGCACGGGGGAGGCCCCTGCCTCAGGTGCAGGTGCGTGTGACCGGGACTTAGCCTTGTCTCATCCCAGCACCGCTGTGCACCAGTGGTGTGCAGAGACCACGTGAGCGCTGAGGCCTCTGCAGGGCTGTGGACTGCGCGGCATCCCCCCAGCAGGCACCGCCACCAGGGCCTGCCACGGAGACCGCTGTTCCCCTTGATCGATCGACCTTGCTTGAGTGTTGTAACTCAGATGCCTTATTTTGAATTTTTAAAGAAATTAAAGAAGAACTTGAAGACCTGAACAAAGAAATCAAGAAAACTGCTAACAAAATTCGGGCCAAGCTAAAGTGTGAGTTTAAAGTCTGATTATCAGTGGTGGGAATAAGGGTAATTACTACTTCCTTCCTTTTAGTTCTTTATTCTTTCACATTTTCACATATTGTGATTATTTCTTTTTTGTTGTTGTTGTTTTGGTTTCATTGAGACAGGGTCTCACTATGCAGTTCAAACTGGCCTTGAGCTCACTTTGTAGCCCAGGCTGGTCTCAAACTCACAAAGATCCTCCTGCCTCAGCCTCCCGAGTGCTGGGATTACAGGCATGCACCACCACGCCCGGCTGTTGTGATCATTTCTAAACAAACTGTTTGTGTGTATTTGGGAAGATACTACATATCCAGTAAGAGGAGCGTTGCTTGTTAAGTTCCTGGGCTTTATAGTCACTTTCAATAGTTCTTGTTTGTGTTCTTTTGACATTAGTTAACTTGATCTATAGTTAAGTTAGTTCCTTCCTTCCTTGTCTCCCTCTCTCCCTCCCTCCTTCCTTCCTTTCTTCCCTTTCGTTTTTGAGACAGGATCAAGCTGTGTAGCTTTCAACTTACTATGGAGTCCAGGCTGCCTCGAACTTACGGCGATCCTCCTGGCTCAGCCTCCTGAGTGCTGGGATTACAGTTGTGTGCCAGCATGCCTAGTTGTTTTTTGTTTTTTTTTTTTTAATTTTAGAGATTGCTGCATTTATTTTTGAGGTGGGGTCTCACCCTGGTGCCCAGGCTGGCTTTGAACTTGAGAGGCCCTCCTGTCTCAGTTCTTAAGTGCTGGGACCGCAGGTGTGCACCACTGTGCATGGGGAGAGATTGCTTTTGTAGTAATTTAATACTGCTTTATAGTCACGTGAAGTGTCGTGTCACTGTCAGGTCACACCCCCCCAGGGAGGATGTAGTGCAAGGGTTCTGGCTTCTCCAGCCTGTCCCCACTTTACGTCCCTGTCCTCTTCAGGCTCCCCACCTCTGAAGTCCACACGTGAATATACGTGTGTGTGTGTGTGTGTGCGCGCGCGTGTGTGTGCACGTTTGTCGTGTGTCAGGACAGTCCTTGCCGGTGTGTCCTGGGGACTGTTTCCAGAGGCGTTTGTGTCGAGGGAGACATGCTTTGAGATGACGAAGGAAAGCGGTTTGAGGTCTGCCTGGGAAAACTCTGTGTCCTGTTCCCTTCCAGCCATCGAGCAAAGCTTCGATCAGGATGAAAGCGGGAACCGGACCTCAGTGGACCTACGCATCCGCAGAACCCAGGTCTGACTTTGAGCCCCCCTTAGCCGGCAGTGACGTGAGGGAACCAGGGCGCTTGCTTCCTTCAGACCCAGCGTAGCTGCCTGGGTTGCCCTGTGTCCACTCACATGTCTGCAGGATGGGATTTAAGTCCTCCTCTTGAGGGCAGGGTCCCCGGGTCCGGTCTGTGCCAGGGAACGCCGTGTGTGGGGCCGCAGAGAGGCACGCGGGCGTCCAGTGCCCGCGTCACCTAGGTCCCTGTGAGCGCACGTGCTGGTGAGGCTGGGGCTTCTGCGCTGTGGGTGCGGTGTGAACCGCGTCCCCGCTGTGGAAGCCCGCACGGAGACTCCTCAGGAAACCGAAAGCAGAGCTTCCGTTAGACCCAGCGCCACCTCTCCTGGGCCTCTCCCGAGGGAGTTACAGACGTCTCTTGTTGGCATCCGCGCACACCAGGTGTACAGCAGTAGACTCCTAACAGTTAGAGCTCGGAAGCTGCCTGTGTCCGTCAGCAGTGAATACATAAGGGAGACAGGACAGGCATGAACAACGGGGCACTGCTCAGCCAGGAAGAAGGACAAATTGGAGTCATTTTTAGGAAAATGGATGCACTCTGAGACCGTAATAACGTTAAGTGAAATAAATCAGACACAGAAGCCCAAATATCACAGAGTTTCTCTTATTTGAGAAGCCCAGTGTATAAATAAAGAACAAAATAAAAGATGTGAAATAGGGAGACAGACTTGCTAACGGGAAGTAGCAATGGATGGGGCGGGGGGAGAGGTCTGTGGGCGCCGGTCCCCACCAGAGTGTGCACAGCAAACGCAGACGGACGATACACCGGAAGAACACTGCGCGCACACTGGGGTCCAGCCTGGCCGCGCCCACCACACCCTACGCCAGCTTGCGCAAGCACATCCCAGGACTGGTGCAAACCCGACCCGAGCAGACGCTGCCTCACGGGAGGGTCCGCGCCGTGCTCTCTCCGAGCTCTTGGCAGTTCTGCCCGTGACCTTTCCAGTGCCAGGCCAGGGGAAGGTCATGTGTGTAAAGTTCTTCGCACGGCTCTGTCCCTGGCCGGCTTCTGCTCTGACTCCCCACTTGGAGGGGCGGTGTGCGGCTTGGTTTCCTGGGTGCTGACGTGTCACACACTGAGCAGAGGGAGGTGTGCCCGTGTGTTCTCATGTCCCGCTCCACCCGCCCGCAGCATTCCGTGCTGTCTCGGAAATTCGTGGAGGTCATGACCGAGTACAACGAGGCCCAGACTCTGTTTCGGGAGCGGAGCAAAGGACGGATACAGCGCCAGCTTGAGATCAGTGAGTGGGGAGGAGGGCAGGAGGCGTCCCCTCCCCGCCTCGGTTCTGCCGGGCACCCTTGGCTCCAGCTCTGACTCCACAGGAGTAATTCTGCCAGCTTTTACCAATATTGTACAAGCTGGCCTTGTTCTTGTTCCTTGTTCAGGAACCAACCAAACCAAACCTTTGAGGGTTGATTTATTTACAACCCTCAAAAATTCTTTTTTGATTGTTGTTTTTGAGACAGGGTCTCACTATGTAGCCTAGGCTGGCCTTGAACTCACGGCAATCCTCCTGCCTCAGCCTCCTGAGTGCTGGGATTACGAGTGTGCACCACTATGCTAGGCCTCAAAAATTCTAAGTGAGGGACTTTATAAATTACTTTCCAACTCTCAGTACTTGCAGCAATTGAGGGGGGTTGGAACACCTTCCGTGACTGTGTCTGCCACTCTGGGCCCCCAGCCTGGTAAGGGTGTGTCCCTGAGCCTCACCCCTCAGCCGGACACCGGAGTGAGCTTGTGGGAACCGCTTTGCCCGAGTGTTGCTTCTCATTAAGTCCAGACCAGCTTAGGAGGTGGCGCGATGTGCCTGGTGCTCTGCGCTGGGTGCCAGGGCCCCCGTGCTCATCCTCACGCCTGCCGGGGGGAGTGGGACCCCGCTGGGAGTATGGTAGCTGGTCAGGCGGGTCCCTCGCTGGCTCGCTCGCAGGAGCGGCAGGCAGGTGCTGAGTGGGTGTCGCCTGCAGCCGGCAGGACCACCACGGACGCGGAGCTGGAGGAGATGCTGGAGAGCGGGAAGCCGTCCATCTTCACCTCTGATGTGAGTAGAGCCTGTGGCCCACGCCCGCGCGCGCCTCCGGGCCCGCTCACCCTCACGGTCCTTTCCTCGTGTCTCCCCAAGATCATCTCGGACTCGCACATCACCAGACAGGCGCTCAGCGAGATCGAGTCGCGCCACAAGGACATCCTGAAGCTGGAGACCAGCATCCGGGAGCTGCATGAGATGTTCATGGACATGGCCATGTTCGTGGAGACACAGGTGAGCCGGACCTGCCCCCGGCCAGCAAGCCTCCGGGGCCCAGCCGCAGAGGGAGTGGGCTGTCGTGACCCTGCAGCCCCGGGCACAGGTGGCCGTTCTGTCCTGAGGACTGGCCCATCCCGAGCCACAGTTGTTCACGGCCTCAGCCTTCCCGTCTGCCGTGCCCGCACAGGCTGTGCGTTCTCGGGGTGCTCTCAGCAGTGTACCTAAGACGGGGACGGTAGGGGCATCGTACTGTGTACCCACACTTGTGACCCTGACCCAGCCGCAGGGCACACGCTTCCCAGAGACGGCCGTCCACTGCGGCCCAGGGACCGTGGCCCATGGGGACTCATGTTCCGGGCAGTCTAAGTTTCCTGCCAGGAGCAGTGCGGCAGCTGTCACTGGAGAGGGGCTGAGAGTTCAAGCTCCAGAGCTGCAGCGCACCCTCTTGAGCTGAGCTTCCCACCTGGGCCTGCTGCCCGGCACACGGCGGGGTGAGCAGGACTCAGCCGTCCTGGGCTGGAGTCCATGGGCTGACGTCGGTGCCCAGTCGCCCGGGGCCGGTGGCCGTGCTCCGCGTGGCTCCTCGTGGGTTGAGCCCAGCGGGCTTCCTGAAGGTGGCACCCACCACCTACGCTTGCCTGGGCGGTGCTAGCCAGGGCTCGTCCCCACAGAGAACACTGCCGATGGAGGAGCGCCAGGGAGCCCGAGTGCAGAGCTCGGTGCCGTCCTCGCCAGGCACTCAGTGCCCTGGGACGGGGTGACCAAGATGCACTGCTGCTCCCTGCGCTGTGTAGTGGGGGTGGGACAGTAGCAGCTTATCTCCAGGAGGCAGCCGAGGGAGCCAGCTACACGGGGCAGATTATTCTGTAATTACCGGGGATTTTAACGAGTGCCGCAGTTTTCAGTTATGTCCGTTCCGCGCCCAGGGCACCGTGTCCGTAGCGTGGCTCGTGTTCCCTTCGAGAAGTCTGCATATCGCCGTCCACACAGGCAGGGCTTGGTAGGGAGTGACCTTTGTGCCTTCAGTCACCTGTCCGTCCTTCTTTACTGCTTTCCTCTTTGCGGCCACAGACCTTGTCTCCCGGTGGACAGAGCCCAGGTAACGTGTGCCACACGCTCCTCCTCGGGTCCGCAGAGGCCCCGCCCCTTCCTCCGCCTCTCGTCCATGGGCGGCAGACAGTAGCTGCACTTGGTGTACTGACGTACTAAAGGAGTAGCAGTGGTTTGCCCATCACGACGGCTGTCATCCTTGGCGTGGAATGTTTTGCGTGGTCGTGAAACATTCGTCAGCCCCGCGCTGGCTCCCTCCGTCCCCGGGCCAGCCTGGGAGGCGCTGGAGGGAGAGCATGTCCCCAAGCCACCGTCCTTGCGTCCGCCTCCACGTGCAGCTTGTCTCCATCTCCATCGCGCGGTGTCGCACACTGACGCCCGTCTCGCCGTCCGCCTCGCCGCTCCATCTCCCGACGTGCACGACCTGTCTGCATCGGTGTCACGTGGTTGGCGGGGACGCGGTCCCGTGACAGCGGATTTGAGGCTGATCCTTCTCGTTTTTAGGGTGAAATGATCAACAACATAGAGAGAAACGTCACGAACGCCACGGAGTACGTGGAGCACGCCAAGGAGGAGACCAAGAAGGCTATCAGATACCAGAGCAAGGCCCGCAGGGTGAGTGCGTGGGCGTACTGAGCGTTTCCCTCCCTGTGGTTTGCAGTCGGTAGACGCCCGTGAGTGCCTGCTGGAAACGTAGCCCGGAAGTAAAAGTCCCTTCAATAAATGTTCTGTCCTAAAACTGAAATAGTTCTTTTTGCTAAAAATTTTACAAGTTTTTAGGTAAATAGGTAAGCTGTTTTGTGTTCTAAGTCATGAAATCCTTCCCAGCCTCCTGCCAGGGCTGTTTCCATTTTTAGGCTGCCCTAGCCCGACCGACGGCATTGCTTCTGGGTCATCTGGGGAGGGAGCGGGGAGGCCACGGCCTCAGGGAGTCTCCGAGCCAGCGCTGGTTCCGTGTTGTGTGGGAGTGTTTGCTGGGGGTTCAGGCCATGCCCGGCCCCTCTGCCCTGGAGGGGAAGGAGCATTTCTGAGCTGCGGGCCTGACCCCCACGCAGAGCCGCCTGCTGTGCCCGCCCCTCCTCCCGCCTGCTGCCATGAGCAGACAGCTCCACGTCCCGGATCGAGTCCGGCTTCTGATAGGCCAAACCCTCGATCTCCTGCCGCCTCGGGCTGGGTGATGGCGCCTGCAACCCTGTGCTGGGGGCTCCAGACCGTTTCTCCCAGAGCTCCACCACGTGTGAGGGACTGCTGTCCTGAGAAGACCACAGAGCTGCGCGGCCACGTTCGCACCCGTTCCCGTGTGGGTTCCTGCCGGGTTCTCTGGTAGACTGACTCCTAACCAGAGGTGGTGGTGCAAGCCTGTGACCCCGGCACATGGGAGGCTGAGGCAGGAGGACACAAGTTTGAGCCCAGCCTGAACAACTTAATGACTTAGTGAGAGCCTGTCTCAAAGTAGAAAGTAAAAGAGGACTGCGGAGATAGGTCGGTGTGAAGGCTCCAGTCTCTGCTTGGAGGGCTCGTCACCTGTCGCCTTCCTGTCAGCCGTTTCTGGGTGCTGCCGGTAGAGCCTCTGTCCAGGGACCATCGCCAGGGTCAGTACGGACGAGAGAGCTAGCTGTGTGTGCAGATGTGTGTGTGGACAGCGCAGGCCCAGCTGCGTGTCAGCGCGGTGCACGTCGCCCGCCTGAGCTCGTGCGTCTGGCGTGTTCAGTCCTTGTGTCGCTGGCTCAGCTGCCCCTCGCTGTGAGTGGCCTGCGGACTCGCGCGCAGGTCGCTGTGGGTGCACAGTCCCTTCTGTCTCCACGCAGTGGGGCCTTTCCTTCCACTCCTCCGTGCCGGGACACACGGGCACGTGGACAGCTGCGTGGGGGGAGGACGCACTGCAGACCCTGGCGCTGTGGGCGGCCAGGACCCCACACTGCCTGTCGGGCCTCTCCCTGCCTCTCAGATGAAAAGCCGGCTCAACCAGACGGCCCCGCTCGCCCTCCCCTCTGCCGGATGCCCTGCCCTGCTCCTGGCCCGCCTGGTACGCCAAGTCAGCCCTGGGAGCTGCTAGCCGCAGAGGCCGGGCAGTGTCCATGGATGGTTTTCCCCTGGCTGGGAGCTGGGAAGGACACGACTGCCAGCAAGAAGTGGACGAGAAGCAGAGGCCGGAGGAGTCCACATGGCCGCCGAGGTGGAGCAGCCAGAGAGGTCTTTGCACGTGCGCTGGGAGAGAAGGCGGTGGAAGGAGAGCGCCACGGCGCCCTCAGGACGCCAGGAGGCAGGCGCTCGGGCCGGGAGGGCAGGACTCCAGCCCTCGCATCAGCCGCTGTCATCAGAAAAGGCTCCTGGCCGTCTGCCGTCCCTGCCTGGAAAGGACACAGTGAGGGACATCACCGCGGCCAGGCTGTCGGCAGCACTGGAAGCCAGCAAGCGTGAGAGGCCCCGGCGGACCCTCGTCGGGTGGAGACAGGCGCACGGACCCGACTGCGGACTGGGACCCAGCCTGGGAAGACCACTGCCGGGCCGTGGTGCGGTCGGGGGCTGCTTCTCCACACCAGCCCCTGGGGAGGGCCAGAGCGGCCCTGCCCCGGCCACTCGCCTGTCCTTCTCCAAGCCCCGGAGTGTGCACGCCCACCAGACCCCGACCTGCTGCGCTGCGCGGTGTGGAGCCTCCCAGCCCGGCGGGGGTAGACAGTGCAGACCTCAGGAAGGAGGCGGGGGCGGTGCAGGGTTTGCTGAGGCAGGCAGGGCGCCGGGGTCCAGGCAGGGCCCGCAGAAAGGCAGCAGCACCCAGTCTGCCACACGCAGCCTCCAGAGGGGCTGGGCTGCAGACCGGGAGGGGACAGGAGGCGAACTGTGGGCCCGGGGGCGGCCCTGGGGTGGGACAGGCCCCGCCTCCATGTGTGCCCGTGTGGCCGAGCTCTGCTGAGCTGCTGCAGTGTGAACAGGGCTGTGCCGGGGCCTCCGGGGGGGGGGTCTCGCACGCATGGGCTTGGGGCTCCTTCTCCACCTCCTCCCGTCCCTCTGGTCTCATCGCCTCCCCTCCATGCCGTCCTGCTCACGTGCAGCACGTCCTTACCCGGGAAGTCTGCGCGTGCAGAGGAGCACCCACCCGGGGTCGGATGTGACCTGTCTGCCCCATGCTCCCGCTCCGCCCCCCTCTCCCCTGCTGCCCGCCAGGCCTTCCTCCCTCCCTTCTCCCTCCACGTCCCGGGAGCAGGGCGCGGCGCGGTCTGGGCCGCGCGGCTCGTGGATGAGGGTCTGTGGCCCACGCGTGCACAGGATGGGTGTGTGGCGGGGTCTGCGGGCGCAAGGCCAGGTGCAGGTCTCTCGCTGCCACGTGGCGCCCGGCAGAGAGCGGACGAAGTCCTGTCCCTGCGAGGCAGGCGCGGACTAGAGCTCTGCACGCCAGCAGCAGTCTGCGCTCTGATCGGTCCTCCACTCTCAGCGCCCACACGCACACACATGTGCACGCGCACACGTGCACACGCACACACACCAAGGGAAGTGTGAGACAAGAAGGCAAGAAGATGCCTCCAGAAACTTCTCCCACCCCCACAGCTGGTCCAGTGGGCACTGGTGAGGAGGGAGAAACCCAGTGAAGCGAGGACAGAAGCAGAACAAAACACACCCCAAACACCAGATCACGGAGGTGCTCTGCGAGCTCAGGGCTGGTGTCGCTAAACAGAGCACGGACTTTAAATGACCGTGGGCTTAGCGGGGGCGCAGACATCGAGCTAGGTGAGCCGCCCAAAACAGTGTAAAGCACAAGTAACCCATTCAGCAAAGAATCCGCAAGAAGGTTCTGAGCAGAAATCCAGGGTATAAAAACCTTGAGGGTGAGGACAGAGTCAGACCGCGGAAGGGGCTGGCGCGGGTGGCCTTGAGCTGGGAGAACCCAAGACGCATCTCAGAGACCCTGCAGGCTTCCGGGCGACACAAAGACCGACCTAGGAGACACTGCAAGTAGAGAACAATTAGGAGACCACGTGAATGGCGTGAAAATCTGTTTTCAGAAATCAGGGAAAATGCCCGTTATGGGAAAAGAATTGAACGTTCAGATAAGCAAGGCATATAGAACCCCAAAGAGCCATGACTGAGACAGAGCTTCACCCCGGCACGTCACAGTCAGAATGCCACAAGTCCAACACAAGGGCAAAGCTGTAAAAGCTGTTAAGGAGAACAAGTCCCCTAGAAAGCTGAGACTATGAGGATTCCTGGGGGTCTTTCAGCACCAGCCCTAAAGGCAGTGAGACCTTGGAGGGGAGCTCTTCAAGCCTTAAAGAAACCTGGTGAGTCCTGCAAAACTGTCTTTCAAAATCGATGGAGAACGTGGGACTTTCCACAACAAAGTGCACCTTAAGAAATTCACACTGCCAGGCGTGGCGCACACCTGTAATCCCAGCACTCAGGAGGCTGAGGCAGGAGGATCGTTGCGAGTTCAAGACCAGCCTGGGCTACACAGTGAGCTCAAGGCCAGCCTGAACTGCATAGCAAGACCCTGCCTCAAAAAGAAAGAAAGAAAGAAAGAGAGAAAGGAAGAAATTCATGACTATCAGAGAAGCATTACAGAAAAGTCAGGGAGTGCTTAGTGGCAAACCTATGGCATGTGTGCTGCAGGGGGCTGCTCACTGCACTAGGCTGTAAAGTTCACTTAAAAAATACAAAAGAACACTCAGCTGCCCTATCTTTGACAAAGGAGGCAGACACATTCACTGGAAGGAAGATAGTCTGTTTAACAAATGGTGCTGGAAAAACTGGTTTTCCACATGCTGAAGATTAAAACCAGACACATCTTTCACCGTGCACTAATCTAAAATTGAAATGGGTTAAAGATCTAAATATTAAAATAGAAGCACTAAATCTGCTGGAAGACAGAATAGGTAGAAGTGTAGAAGACGCCGACGTAGGCAAAGACTTGATGAACAAAACCCTGATCACAGGAACTTTCACAAAGAATCAACAACCAGCATCTCATCTTATCAAAGAGCGTTTGCTCAGCAGGAGAAACCACCAACAGAGTGAAGAGACCCCGTGGGAAAAAAACTTTGCCAGCTGTTCCTCACACAAAGGATTAGCATTGAGAACACATGAAGAACTGAAATAATCATACCTCACAGATTCAAAGAGCCAATCCAGAAATGGGCATCTGAGATGAATACACACTTCTCAGACGAAGAAATACAAATGGCAGATAAGTATCGGAAAGAATCTTCATCACTGGTCATTCAAGAGATGCAAGTTAAAACAACACTGAGATTCCACCTCACTCCAGAAGGAACCACTGTTATCAAGAAATCAAACAATAGCAAATGCTGGTGGGGCTGAAGGGAGAAAGGAGCCCTGCTCCACTGCTAGTGAGAGTGTAGACCGGTGCAACCACTGGGAATCAGTGGGGAGATTCCTCACAAAACTAAAACTTGAGGTTCCATTTGATCCCGCAGTTCCCCTTGTTGGTATCTTCCCAAAAGAACTGTAAACAACATACCACAGCAATATACACCCACCCGTGTTTTTGTAGCAGCACAGTTTGATTTTGGTTTTTTTTCTCCGGTACCGGGAACCGAACTCACGACCTTGCACTTGCCAGGCAGGCACTTTGCCGCTGAGCTAAATCCCCAGCCCCGCAG